ACTACTAAATATATCAAGGTACTGATATTCCCTTCATTTCTTAAAGATGTTGCAGGTAAAACTCCTTTCTATAAATCATAATTCGACATTACCTAGGCAGAGATTAATCAAGGTTGTAGTTAAAAGGTGTTACAATTTACAACTAATTCCTATAGATAATAATGCAACATAATTTAGGCGTAGTTATAGTTAAAAGGTGTTGTAGATCACAACTACTTGCTATAAATCATGAGCTACATTTAAACATCTTGTGGGCCAGAACTACTTTCTGCAAATTAGAATGTAGGATCATCTATGCAGAAGCACAGTTAAAATATATTGTAGGTCACAATTACTTGCATAAATCATAATGTAATATGATTATAGTTAAATGGTTTTATGTGTCATAACTACTTGCTATAAATCACAAAGTAACAAGATCTAGGAAGAACTACATTTTATTAACATGTCTTGTGAGTAACAAATAATTTCTGTAATTTAGAATGCAGCATGATCTAGGAAGAACTACATTTTATTAACATGTCTTGTGAGTAACAAATAATTTCTGTACTTCAGAATGCAGCATGATCTAGGAAGAACTACATTTTATTAACATGTCTTGTGAGTAACAAATAATTTCTGTAATTCAGAATGCAGCATGATCTAGGAAGAACTACATTTTATTAACATGTCTTGTGAGTAACAAATAATTTTTGTAATTCAGAATGTAGCATGATCTAGGAAGAGCTATAATTTAGCAACGGCCTCATTTTACTATCACAATCGATCAACTGTACATACCGCGTTAACAGAAAATACATACCTTAACCTTTTCTTATAATATTTCTATTTATGTTTGAAGAAAAAATAAAGTACAGCAAACTGAACACACTTAAACTGACTAAATTCTTTGTCAACAAACCCTCAGCGAATTAACGATTATTCATTACAGAATGGTTTATCACTTAACACATATTATTTCAGTATTTCTACACCAGCATTAGATCTGTATACACAATCAATGTAAAATTTGCTGATTTTTAAAATCATACTCGCTGATTTATCACTAATATTGTATTTAAAAAGATCGTAAGGATCTAGTGCATAACACTTACCCCAATGTATTTATGATAAAACACTCAATTTTGTAATATTCACATAACTAGTAACTTTATAGCATATTTTTTTCTTCATTATAGTATATAAAACATGATCCATTCAAATACCAAGTAATCGAAAAATCAACCTTCTTGCATACTTCTACATTTTAAAGTAAAGTCGACATAATTATGTGGATTGCTTCTGCTGAAAAAATAATTATTTGGTAGAAGTTGTAGACTGTAGCAGATTCTGATATTTTGTGTTCACTAACGTCCCAGTAAATGTAATATCGTCAATAAACAATACTGTAAATCTCATTAATTCCATAAATTATTGTACTTGTAGTTCCAATAAGGTTCTTTCAGAATTTCTTTGTGATAGTTAAACGGCTAATAAGTTAATCAACTGAATTTCATTAATCATATATTTAAAATATTTCAACTGTTTTCATGTATGTTTATTCATAACTTTATGACAAGTCTTTATTGTAGTCTTGCTATAATTCAGAAAACTTCTTAGTTCATTACACATGTTGACTAATCTAGTACAGTTGCATTGCTAATAATATATGTTCTCATTAATGTCGCAGGTGTAATGCCATTAAAATTCATGCTACTCTGTCTCTCTTTTCTGCGTGATATCAAGATTCACAGTTTTTGACTGAGCATCAATAAATCTGACAAAGAGAGTAAACCCGACCACAGAGTGTACTGATGGTCTTAGGTGTTTAATTACCTTTACCTCCCACCCATTATGGGCATAATGTTGATAAGAACGTTCGTTAAAGGCCAGTAGGAAATGGTTAATTGCTAAATGCACGACTTGATGTTATTGTAATGCATATGTGGGGAAATACATTGAAGATATTAAACATTCAAATACTATTGTTTTCCTTTTTTTTTAGTGTGTGTCTCATTTCTCTCATGCCCGTTTTTCGTACTTCCGGTTTTGACTTTCATAATCAAATAGGACATCCGATTAATATAATAGCTGTAATAACAACTGATTAATGCCACATTTTAAATGTTGATAATATATTGAAATCTTTAAATTTCTTAATTTATTAACACAACGTTGAAACTTATGAGTGTAAAGAGAAAGGCAGTTTATAAATAACTTGGATTGTAACCATTTTACACGAAATCCTAGGAGTATATTGAACACAACCCTGTCTACAAATCGAGTAGTAATATTCCAGATGGATTGCAAAGAACAAGAACATTAAAAAAAAGAAAAGCAGATCGTCATGGCAGCAGGCCTCTGTTAATCGATTGCGCACGCCTGAAATAATTTAGCGGAACTCAGTACAGTGAAGCACCCAGTTTCGATAAATCGCTGTGGAAAGAAGCGTAAAGGGAACCTCTCTTAGTTCTCTGTAAGCAAAACATATTTTTAAGCAGTTGAAATACACAAATTGTTTAGATTAAGAAATATATTTTACATTTAGTTAGAGTGAAAATAATTTTAATGAGGAAAAAATATGATGCTAGTCCATTCATGCCACAATAAACTTTGGACTTTTCATTAACTTCAAATTTAAAACGAATTACTTGGATAACCTGTTCATGTAAGCATCATAACGTACTTTCAAGAAAATCATATGGAAAATATACGAAATGGGCTGTTAAAGATAGCACTGGTAACAGAAGTGGTATGTAAACATCCAACCATTAAATATCCATGTTCACTTTTCAGTATACATTATGTTTCATATACATATATTTGCACTACATTTGGCAAAGCAGTATTAAAATTCTTATCCAACTAATAAATTAGTAATAAAATATAACTTAGTTTAACCTCATGAAACAGTAAAAATCGGTCGTGCATGTCTTCGTTATTCGCAGCATTCGAGACAAAAAGTTACAAGATATGCATAGTAATTAACATTCAATTTTTGAGAGACAAGAATAGGACCTGCAAAGGATCTATAATATATGCATGATGATTGACTCTCCAGGTTTTAACATAGAATAAATGATCCTGCAAAGCAGGTATAAGATATGCATTGTAATTAAATCTTCAGTTTTATTAATTATTATATTTTCTGGTGTATGGAAAAAAAAATGCAACTCTAAGCATTCATGTCGAGATTGCATCATCGTTGTTTTTCGAATTTCGCTATAATTATCTGCTGTATTTTTTTCCAAATTTCTGAGCAAATTAACTAGGGTTATGATCTTGACATGCTAAAAATTTAAATTCACGGTACGAATATTTATAAAATTTTGGTATTTCTTAAAATAGCTTACGCTACAGTACTGTAAGTGAACTCATTTGCAACAAAGTAACAGCTAGAAATATCAGTATATTAGGATATGTAGTAATTTCGTTTTATAATTGGTTTAATATATAGTAGGTCAATGTGTTATACATATACTTTACTTAAATATAACTTTTTGTCGCTCAGCGGTAGGCTTGATGGCTTATAACTAACATTTACAGATCGATACATGTGACGGGGTCATAAAATATACTCCACTTTGAGGCTTTGCGCCAACACAAGTAAGTATTATGTATAATAGCAAGAGAAATGACACTAACACCATTACTCGAACGTTACTGGATGACCGAGATACTTGTGTAATAACTTGTGTTGTTTGCAGAAAAATAATATATATACATATGTGTGTGTGTATGTGTACAGTCAGGATTGCTACAGAAAAGTCATACAAACAAACCTAAGTATGCAAGTCTTATTTCATAAAATATATGGCTAAATAGCACAAACTATTACTTTACGTAAATACTTCTTTGCGATCTGGTCCTAACACAAATGTAATTTGAAGAATATCTGTTTATTTCAAATACTCAAGCATAGCTACACAAGAGCTATTAATGGTAGTTGAACATCATTTTTAGCTGAAGACTTTAGGGAAGTCATTTAGTCAATGCTTGTTGTCTACTCTTCAGATATGCTTGTCGAATAGCGGGTTTGACCGTCACTCTGATAACGAACACAAGGTTTTAAAGTGTGGATATTGATTTTCTATGGTAACGAGACCCGAGCCATAGTCCTTCGGATCCACAGTTAAAGTCTCTGAACAGTATATTATACTAGGCCCCATTCCAAGAATGGAAAAAAACAGCAGCACAGAATCATTGAACAAAAACAAACCAAATGATCCGAAGCTTCATTTATCCAGTTTTGGGTCAAATTAGTTTCAAAATGGCCGAGAGTTATCTAATGTTTAGCATGTATGGAAACAGATCAGAAAATTCATGGTTTGAAAAACTCGGTATTACTCATAACTTGTCCTTCCTCTGACCAGTTTTTAATTAGGGATGGTCAGGCTTGAATTTAAGGATCTCTGGGTTTGTTTACCCATTGTCATATAAGGTACGGTTCAGGTTAAAATGACCAAATATCGACTTTCTAAGCCTAGGTACATCGGTATTTTACCTATATTCTATTGACTTACCCATGTTAAATAGTTAAAAAGCAGTTTTCCTGCGAAAAGGTATATAATGAGGAATAACAGTAATATGATTTTATTTGCTTGTTTTATATAACATATAATAGTCATATTGATTTTTAATGGACTAAGCTTTGACAAAGTTTCTTTTGGGATATACTATATATGCAAATATCCAAATAATTTATATTGAGAAGATCCATTTAATTCAATGTCAACACTACTTAGTCTAGCAGCGTCAAGATGAATGATCTAATTGTTAGTCTATGTCAAGAGAACTGAGGATCTAATAATGTCAGCCACACTCAGTACGATTGATGTTGAAATTTTATTTTCACTTTTCCAACAACTACGATATACGAAATTACTTATCATTAAAGTAATAATTTGTTACGGAAACCACGCTGTGTTTTAAATTCATCATCATCAATACTTACGTATTTGCCACAGTATTATGTAAGATCTATATTATTATTATTATTAACAAAAAAAAAAAACACTTACCTTCGACATTTGTCAGTAAAACTGTGATTAATGTCCCTAGGGTCATACACAAGCAAATACGTTTTTTCCTTTCTGACATGATAACATTGGGCCACGTTTGAGCCATGTCTGCAGTTCAATATTTAAAATAAAGTTGTTTCAGAATGAGGTTATTTTTGGTAAGAAGAGATGACTTGAATAGATCATCACACACAACTAGATCTAGTCTTCAGAATGTTGCAGTTTGAAACACTACACGGCCGTGTTCGATAGCTAGTTTTTCGGCCTCAGTTTTCTACAATACGCTTACGTATTTTGTTGTAAAACTAACGATAACCTACCGTACAACGCGTGTTCTCAGTGAACTACTGCACGAGAAGAAACCAAATAGGTTTCACGAGTGATTTCTACTATCCATGATGAACAGCGTCACCTAGTGGTAAATGTCTAAAATTGGTAAGTGCATCGCCAGTTACTACATAAAATTGCAGTTTATTTTGGCTTTCTGCCAGATCTACTGTGCTCAGGTGTATTACCGTCAACAATAGGGATTAAAAATCTCTCGTCTACGGAACTAGGGACGAACGAGTTTAGCAAGATGAGCTCGCTGACAAGGTTGTGAGTTTTTCAAGAAAAAATTAAAATCTTCGCGTTTCGGTTTTCCTAACCGCTAGTTACTCCAAAACGAGTTTTCTCACGAGCTAGAATAACTTTTCACTGAAATGTGTATAAAGTAAAAGAAAAATCAAATATATACATAACTTGATATTAGCTGTCAAATATATTTGTATGTTTTGACACAAAACGGCTGTAATAACCCATTTTCATAATTGTTGTGACATTATACATATATACATATATATATATATATACATGAAATTAGTTTTTTATTAATATCACGCATTATTAATGCTAATAATGTTCTTTAAAGATAACATACATTTCGTAGCCGTAAACAATTATAACTAACAAACAGTGAACGTCAGTGGTAAAATACAAAGATGCTAACAATGTCAAAGGATTATATATATATATGTGTGTGTGTGTATCAAAACAAAATATCTTAGTTGTGGTATGGACTGTCACGCGCTTTAAGGACATTTATAAGCATTCTAACTGCCTATGAAATCCACAACAATAAAAGTATCTCGTTTAAGATAACTATACGTAAAATAATAGTTTAATAGTGAGTCAATAGACGTTTTGGGAATGCGAAACACGTTGAATGTTTTAAAATGTCATAAAAAATGTTTTTGTTACGAATTATTAAGATTTTAATGTGGATTGTTTGTTTGTAATCAAACACAACGCTACACAATGGGCTATCTGTGCTCTGCCCACCACGGGTATCGAAACCCGGATTCTAGCGTTGTAAGTCCGCAGACATACCGCTGTGCCACTGGGGGCTTTTATGTGGATAGCTGATACATTCCTGCTTAATTGTGATATGTCTTGTAATTTACTTATTTGATTTCCGCATCTTCTGATAACTGACAGCAATTATCAAATAAGACTGTTTACATAAATGTTCTTAAGATATAAATTCCAGATTCTGCACTACCAGTAACATCGAATTTTTAAACCTTATCTCACTATTTCGAAAAAAATATGGACCACATCTACCTTGTTTAAATGATACTGATGTGCATAAAATTAATCTCCCTTAGCTACCTCGTCTAGGTGATACTGATGTGCATAAAATTAATCTCCCTTAGCTACCTCGTCTAGGTGATACTGCTGTGCAGAAAGTATCCTAGCTATCTCGTCTAGATCGTAATGCTGTCCGTAAAATTAAAGTGTGCGTAAAGTACCGTATCAACCTAGTAGCATACATTTCGTTGGCTTAACGGGTATGGTGGGTCTGTGTGCGTTTGCGTCATTCACCACACTGAATACTGGAGATCAGTAAAGGTGCCCGTACTACGTGTTTGACATCTGCTTCACGTAGTAATATATTGAAATGGTTGACAAACGTTCGATTGCTTAACTATTTAAATCCCAATTCTCTATCATGTTCAGTCGAAACTGGTTCAGCTATTTTATTTTATACAACAACGTATGCTTTCAAGACATAAGACAGACAAAGAGACGAACAATTTCTCTTTATATATTTATATATATAAATAATTTGAATATCTTGAAGAATAGTGTAGTGTTTTTATTGTATTTTTGTTTCATAAAACGATCTGTATTCATAAATGTGTAGTTGTGTTGTTTGGAATGTTTAAGTTTAAAAGAAAAAATAATATTTGTATATTTATATCTCTTTCCTGTAATCAAATTGTAGGAGCCGTGTCTGACACAATGATATTTTTCGTATTGCATGTTTTTCGTTTAGTGTTTTCAAAAATATATCAATATTATGTGTGTTTATTTAACAGCATGATGATTAAAACAGCGTGAAATGGTGATACTGCAATGAGAAAAATTATAATCAAGCATTACGTTTAGATGTCTCGTAATTAGTTTGTGTATTACTTCTTTTAGTGAAAAATAATGTCAGTATCACATAATAAAGTATTTAGTTAACGAAGTGAAAAGTAACTATTTTATCAGTAAATAAAAGAAAATCGTTATGAAGTTCGTACGATAACATTCATCAAACTTTAGTTCTGCTGCCTTATTTCAAATACACATTGTTGTTTTTTTATTTTAGATTGGCAATATTATTAATTTCATTTAACACTCGTTGCTTACGTCGATAGAAAATATATTTCAAAGTTTTAAACAACAAATGATCTCTTATTAAAACTTTGTTCAATAATAATACAAATATAATTAATAAAACATAACGTATTAAAACGCAATGATCTAGAACTCATGAAGATTTTATACATATTTGGCCCGGGCGTGGCCTACATGTTAGCGTGCCGAATTATAAATCTAATAATCCAAGTTTCTCGTCTATTGCCACAAAATCGCCCTCTGCACTTTGGAGCCACGAGTATGTTATAAGAGTGACGATCAGATACAACTATTCGATAATAGTATAAAAAAAGTTGGCGGTAAATACTGTTGACTAGCTGCCTTCGTGTTTATCAATTCAATTATGGACGGCTTGCGCAGATAGCCCTTGTGAAGCTTTGAGTGAATATTCGAAACAAACAGACTTTATAGATTGATACATTTGAAGAAGATGGAGCGAGCTTGAGCGTGATCAAATATATTTGGAAACATTCCAGTTTCTTCTTGGATATATTCAGTTTAATATCTGAAAAAACATTAACTTTTTTTAATGTACATTAAAAATATTTCTTTATCATTTGGAGTAGCTTGTGAATTTTATCAAGAACATTAAGTATTTTGGTAAGTAAAAAAAATACTCTTGTCTATCTCTTGTCGAAAATATAATTATGTATTCTCATATTCATAATTATATATGATAAACATTATACAGCAATTATTGGATAAACAGTACACGTATTATAACTTTACATATCTGTTTATAAATTCGCGTATCTCTGAAGCTTGGAAATATCTATGAAAGTTGAACGAAAATGCACTAGAGACTTGAATAATCGAATATTTCTGCCAGATCGCATGGATCATTTATTAAAAACTATCATTCCTCTGTAACTAAAAACTATGAAACATTAAAAAAATAGAGTTTCAAGTGAGGGTCCTTACTGAATAATTTGTGAAATATATTTTACTTCAAAATTCGGCATAAGCTTGAAAGACGGATAAAATCAAATCATATTTGCTCTCAAATATTCTGTATGCAAATATATCTTTCCATTATTTATCAAGTAAAAAAAAAAAGGTTTGCTTTGATGTATAAGGATAACAGCTGTCTAGTATCTTTCTATGCTTTCTGATACTACGAAACGAGCTAGCATGCACTAATTGCGTTAAGGTTTCTGGTGGTTAACTCCGTATAAAAAGACATAGTTAACGATTCGGAAGAAGTCTAGAAAGAGAAATGAACGTACTTGCAATAAAACATGTTCTTTTCTAACACGTCCATTTAATTCAGAAAAAAAAAAACGATTTCGTGGCTTCTGATAGTCACATGGGATAGCTTGTGTTTGAAGGAATTGTATCTAAGAAAGGAGATATGGAATACACTTTTAGGTTAAAACATGTCTGTTATGTTACCGATTATTTTGGTTGCGTATATGTAACGGCTGTTTGAATGTAATTTTGAAATTTATGTAACGTCATATATTATTGAATCACGTTAAGCACTAGTTTCTTCTTCCTATTATACAGTAGTTACTCAAAAATGTTTCATTTATATTTTATATTAGTTGCTATAAGTTAGGTTTTTTTGTTACGACTAAATATTTTTGGTTAGTCTAAAACTTTTTATGTGATTCACAAATGCAATGTATCTCAAACAGAAAACAGATTGTGGAACCGGCCATTCCTTGTTTATCACGTATTAGGGCCCGGCATGGTCAGGTGGTTTACGCGCACGACTTGTAATCTGCGGGTCGCGGGTTCGAATCCTCGTCCCACCAAAATGCTCGCCGTAGGGGCGTTATAATGTAACAGCCAATCCCACTATTCGTTAGTAAAAGAGTAGCCCAAGAGTTGGCGGTGGGTGGTGATGACTAGCTGCCTTACACTGCTAAATCAGAGACGGCTAGCGCAGATAGCCCTCACGCAGCCTTGCGCGAAATTCAAAACAAACAAACAAACAATTTTATCAGGTACTATGGTTGAATTGAAAGCTTCTTCTTATCCGGAGTACTGTTTCAACTTTCAAAATAAACTTGGTTGTGTACATTTATGAAGTAAAGATGAAAATATAATGCTTACCTTGTTTAGATTCCTAAAGTTGTCAGATCTAACTTCGATAGTGATTCAATCCAATTTATCATAATTAGTAACTATAACCTATAATCAAGAGGCTTGGCGTTGACTACAGTGGTTAGCGTACTCTTGGCGTTGTCTAGTGGTTAGTGTGCCAGACTGTGAATGGTTCGTATTTGGTTACACAAAATCACTCTCCGCACTTTCGGATCATGGGTTCATTATAAAAGTGACTGTTAAATCCCAAGAGTTAGCGTTAGGCTGTTGACTTGCATTCTGACGACTAGTGTTGGTAGCCCATATGTTGAAGAAATAAGTTGCTAATTTGGTTATATATGTATATATATGTATCCTTTTATTCTCACATCTAAAAATACGGCACTAAGTAGGAAACATTGAAATTGGTGATTTTTTCACACCCATCAACAAATTTATATTTATATTTTTCACATTATATTAAAATGATAAGACCAGGGATTCACAACCTTTTTGTTCCTCTGTTCCCCTGGCTCTGGGCATTCTGACAGGTTCTCATGTACCCCTAAAAATTAAGAATCAAAAATGGATAAAATATATTGATTTTATACTATTTTATTA